ACAAATATAGGCAAACAATAAATTTTAAAAAAAAAATAGTAGATCAAAACCAAATTTATACAATCTATTCCAAGTAATAGTAAGGGAAAAAGCAGTGTTACGGGAGTCGAGCAATCTTTTATATATGTTAATCAATCATTCGTTACCTAAAAAAATTTTATGTAACATCAAACTCGAGTTAAGTTGAACGTTTGGCTCAGCTTGTTTGGAGCTTTACTCCTAGTATACCTTAAGCGATGGTGCTATAATTGAGGCAGTATTAAAATTCTACTCACAAATACTTGTCTCTCAGTATGCCAAGTCAAAATTGCTGTCATCAGACCAACAGCAATCCCGCAACACTCTACATACAGACAAGGGACCGCAGAGTGAGGCCTGGTTATAAATTGCGACCCATATTTTCTTCTCTCATTTTTTTTTTATTCCAGACACTCGTTAAATCAGGAGGGAATATATTATTACCTATAAGAAATTGAAGCTTTTATTAATAATGCTAATTAATTATATAGTAACGAGGATTGTTTGATTATTCGTAACTCAGATATGAATATTAATAGTAAACACTCTAGAACGAACTTAAAGACTTTAGCTCCTGATCAACCCTTCAGTTCTGATTTTTTGCTTAAAGAAACAAAAGGACTGTTCAAGGCGAATTTTAAATATCATAACTGCACAACATGGAATTCGCCTTCACTTTCTGACAATTGACAAGTCTGATATAACTGGTTTCTGGTAGCCTTGGAAGAACTTTATATAAAATAAATTTTCAACTACAAAGGAAAAGGTGGCGGTGTTTTATTTTTTTAGTATACCCTTTAAAAAGAAATTTAAAAAATTGATATCTATAAAGCGGTAAGTGAAAGTATAGATGATGAAATTCTTTGACAAAGAACAACAATTGTAAGAATAAGGATTTAAATAACAAGGTAAGTCTGATCTATCCAAGACTTTGAATTGGTTTATAATAAATTATTTTTTTGAAATCAAGGAAGCATTACATATGAACCAGTTGACTATGTAATTACCTTTTAAGAACATACTTGTGTTCTTGTAATAGCAGTAAAAAAACAAGACATTCAACAAGAAATATCACTCAGATTCATAGTGATATATAAAATTTTAACACTTTATCATCTCTTTTAAACTCTTTATCTTGTCCTTAGAGAAATTAAAAAACATATTACCAAATGAAGTCAGGCATCAAATGTATCAACAGGAAAACAGCTGGTGTTTTTTGCATTTTTGGTGGTAATAGTAATGGTGGTTAAGTTGTCAAAAAAATTGTGTTGGAGTTTTATTTTGAATTATATAATTAGGATTATTGACTCTCAAATTGCCTATTGTTTAGTATAAATCTGCAAATACTGCTAGAAGATACAATATAATTTCTAAATTTGAAGAAAATTGATTTCATTTACCATAATAAAAAACTATTTGAGTTTATACTTGTCTTTATTTCATTCCTAAATTAAACGGTTATTTTCTTTTTGAGTATTATAATTAGATATGTTTTGACACCTGCAATTATTTTCCAACTTAGCATGATATATCATAACTCTTCACCTCTAACATTTTTAACAAATTTTTCATTGATTCATTCAATAAGATTTTAAATATCCATTTAAAAAAAAAATCTCCTATTAAAGAAATAACACGTTATACCCAAAGATGAATGTACTTCAAGGTGTTAAGAGTCAATTGTGTTTTCATTTATACCTATTATTAATAAATGGCTTATTACGGGGTAAAATGTCAGACTTTAACAGAAGGTAGTGAGCCAAGACTTATATACTTTAATAAAGAAATACCTCAAGATCGTTTTTGACTTAATAAACAATGTGATCTACTTTAGGACTGTCCTTCCATGAACGGAAATTTTAGCATGTCGATTGCTATACATATTAATATTAATATTAACAACATTTTGAGGGACATGCTCCCTACTGATCACATTACATTGGTGATGACTAAATTTTGATCTTTGTAATACAAATGTTTACCTTGTTCCATATAATGTTAGATCCACCATAATAAAATTTGAAGTCAGTGCTCTCGATATTGTCAATTTTTATCAGCTTTGGTGCAAAACCCTAATTGAAGCAGAAGTTATGTATACCTGCATTGTATGAAGTGATTCGTTCATCAAAAAAAAATAATCTTCTTATTTTCACTGTCAGATGTTGATTTATAATTTTTTTAGTAAAGGATAACGTGCTTATTTCTCTTTCCGCTTGAATACTCTCTCCTGATTTCACAATTTTTTCATAATATTTATCCAGGACTCATCATGACCCAAAATTAGTTAATGGTAATGCTTTGTTCCCTGACTGAACCAGAAATTCCAAATCAGGCCCATAGAAAAGTTGGCATGCAAGCATGCTAAAAGGTATATGAATTTTGGTGTCGAAATACTTGAAATTGCTAGAATGTAAGGATCAGCTGGGGAAAACTCATTCTTGAGTTCAAAGATGGTTAAGAAAGTAATTTCATCATTGTATTCTTTCTCCATATACCATCAATTTCTTGATTGTTGCTATCGAATTTATAAGATGGTTGACAAACCTTTTAGCCCGTTCTCAGAATGCATATATTCTCTTATTCTCCCTCACAAAAGCACCATTAGTTGTAAAATAGCAGATTACAGATCATATTTTTATCTTCATTTTTTATAAAAATCTCCGTGATACAAGGTGATCGGCGATTTAAAAAAGCTGGATCCATTATCCTACTATTTAACCAATTTGCTGTAAGGCAAAAGTTGATGCACATTACTATCAATATCTTTTGCAAGTTGAAGCATAATTGGATTCTAATACATCAGACTTGCATTTCACAAAAAAAGTTCCCAAATGGGTAAATAAATAAACGAAATGGAATGAGTGAAAATAATTTTTTGTATATTTATATGCAATTTTTTCATTATCTTTCTCTTTACTAATTTCTCTTAATGACTCCTCCACTTGATCACCTGCTCCCTCTGATCCTTCTTCTCTTTACTTCTTCTCCGCTGTCCATTTTTTCATTTCCCTTTAATTCCCCAATTCTTCTCCCGCAAGTTTTACTTCTGCTTTTGTAGGTTGTTCTTTGATTTCGTCAACGTTAGCCTTTTTTTTAGTTTGATAGTCCTTTTTTAGAAATTATCATCGCCGATTACACTAAATTTTGATCCCTGAAATTTTCTTTGGAGCATGCCCCATATAAATTGTGCTTGAAATCTAATTCAAACCTGGCATAATTATATATATATAATGGCGGCTTCTCAAATTTTAATTCTATATTATTTTCCACTGAAAAATCTTTATCTTCTTTTACTAATAAACGATTAATTAATATCTTGGTGCTGTCAAAGAATAGAAGGGATTTCTCCATACAGCTGAAACATTGATGTTATACCATTTGTTTGTTTCACTAGAATGTAAGAGAGATAGATTTATAATCATCTCTAATGTATTTGAATATTTCCGTTAAAAGTCCAGGCAGGCTGTAAAGAAAATTTTTATTGTCGACAATTTTTTTTTTATAAATGAAAAAAATTTTGTACAACTTTTATTGCATTTTTAGTTTTTAAAAAAAATCGTAAGTTGTATGAAAATTAAAATTTAATAAATTATTGTTAAAGATGGAAGAGACTTTAAATGAAGAAGATAGATATCATGATAATTCCATTGAAACGAATGATGATATATATTCAAATAAAAGAGATGAAAAATATGGTGAATGTACAACTTGTAATAGATATAATACTAATAATGGATGGTGTCAATCATGTGACCCACAATTATTAGTTCATGGATGGACTAGCGGTAATGAGACAATTGATGAAATAATCAAAAGCACACAACTTAATGCGAAAGGATATGATAGTTTTTATTATCTTCAGTGGATTCATTTTGATGATTTAAGTGATATTGAAAAAATAGGTGAAGGTGGTTTTGCAACTATATACAAAGCTACTTGGATAAATGGTGATAAATATGTAGATTATCTAAATAAAAGACGGATTGGAGCTAAGACTGTGGCATTAAAAAAATTAAAAAGCACTCAAAATATCTTTGATGGAATTTTAAATGAGGTTAATCGCTTAACTATTATATATTTATATATATATATATATATATATTTGTATTTTGTATTTAATATAATATTAATTATTATATGGTGATTTAATTTTTTTAGCTTAAAAATTACATTAAATTTTATAAAAATGCTCGTATAATCAATATTTATGGAGTTACAAAAGATCCAATTACAAAAGAATATATGCTTTTAATGGAATATATAAAAAATGGAAGCCTCCAAAATTATTTATCAAAAGACTTTAAAAACTTAAAATGGAAAGATAAAATATTAATACTCTATGATATTATTTGTGGTTTAAAAAGGATTCATAAACAAAATGTCATTCATCGTGATCTTCATAGTGGTAATATTCTTCAACAAAAAGATGTCTACTCTACTTTTTCATATATTTCAGATTTCGGATTATCGATTTCAATTGACCAAACATCATCATCATCATCAAATAAAAGAGATATATTTGGAGTTTTACCATATCTAGCACCAGAAATTTTAAGAAGTGAAGCACACACAATTGCATCCGATATCTATAGTTTTGGAGTATTGATGTCAGTTATATCAACAGGTCGACCGCCAATCAGTAATTTGGGACATGATACAGATCTTGCTATAACAATATGCCAGGGTTTGAGACCCGCATTTTCTAACAATACTCCCAAATTTTACATTCGATTAGCATATCAATGTATGGACACTAATCCGGATAAACGGCCAAATACTGAAGAAATTAGAAAAGTTATTAAATTTTGGGAAGATTCATTTGATGATAGATTTTTTAATGAAAATTCTAAAAAATATAGTTATTCTGATGAAAAGATTGCTAAATTAAGATCAATTCGAAATGAATTTCTTGAAATGGACAAAACACCATTTGATCCTTCAACAATTACGACTGCCATTCATCCAGATGCTGTTTATACCAGCAGACTATTACATTTTGCAAATCTTCCAGAACCTGTGAATTCTAGAAAAGTTACAATAATTGGCAATTATAATGGCAAGTATTAATCGTTTGATTATTGAATTTCAAGGCTTTGGATAAAATTAACCATGTTAATAAATATTTTATTAGATTCCCACCAAGTTGATTTATCAATACCAGATGAATTTTCAGATAAAGATGAAGATTCTGAATGAACATATAATTATTTAATTTATAAAATTGAAGAACTTTGATAATCGATCGTCAAAATAAATGATAATTTTTAAAAATTTTTTTAGAATAAATTATTTTAAATCACCTCTACCTGTTATTATAGTAAAGAAAATGTCTTCTAATGATTTACAACCAAGTAAAAAAATTCGATTAAATCCAGGAGAAACTGAACCCGTTTCTACGACTTCTTCTATTGCTACCGATAATATAAAGGATGAAACTATAAATACGAAGAATGTTGATGCTATTGACATTGCTGGCAATGCTAATAATGCTACTATTACTACTACTAGCAATGCTAATAATGCTACCACTACCGCCAATGCCAATAATCGAATTAACTGGAAAACGCGAGAACGAGATGTTGGGATAACTGAATTTATTGATTCTTCTATTCCGGGGTTTTTTGGTTTAATTAAAGAAAGGTATATATCATCATATATATATATACTTTAATATATAAATATTTATATAATATTTATATAATATATATATCTTTATCTATTATAAACTTGTTTAATATAGAAATTTATATCTATGCATATAATGTGTGTGTGTATATATTTGATTTAATGATAGATATTCTGATTTTTTGGTTTATGAGATAGATAAGAAGGGAAATATAGTTCATCTCACCAACTTTGATATTAATCATGCTAATGATTATAATAATATCAAGGAAGAAAAATCAAAAAAGACTAATCAAGAGGTAATCTTTTCTCGAGAAAAATCAAATGATTTTATTTGTGCTATTAATAACAACAATAATAATATATTAATGATTTTTTAAGGAAGTAATATCGATTGAACAAATTTATCAAAATATGGCAAATTTACTTGATCAAGAGACAACAGATTTAGTCAAAGACTTAATTAATAATGGTGAAAAAGAGAAGAGCAAGGAAGAGTATGGAGATACTAATAATGGTGGTAGTAGCAAAAGTGCAAGCGAAAGTGGAAACAAAGGCGGAAGGAATAAAGATGACGATAATAAAAATTCATTATTTGTAATGACAAAGGTGAAAAAAATTCACATATAATATTAATTTTTCTTTATAATATCACCAATAATAATTTATATATATTATGAAAGCCAATAACAGATAAAGAAACTAGAACAACTATTCATCATTTTTTTAAAAGGCATTTTGGCAATAAACTTAATACTGAAACAAAGGAGGAAGGAATGATTAAGATTAGTTTCCATACAAATAAATCTAGATGTATGCTATGATATGTATATTACATGACATGATTTATGATGATGTGATTGGATATTTGAAGATTTGTTTATATTATTTTTAATCTAGATACAAGAAATAATAGAAAAGAAGAAGCAGCGATTTGGGACAAATTAGGGGGATCTTATTGTCAATTTGTATTATATAAAGAAAACAGAGATACAATGGAAGCTGTGAATAATTTATGTAAAGCTTTAAAGTTAGTAATTGGTAATTTTAGTAAAATTTTTTATGATAATAATTTAGAACAGCATTAATAATATTATTATTATTTTAAATATTTGATAGAGTTCCATCAAAAGTATTTTCATATGCTGGTACTAAAGATCAACGCGCGATTACTACTCAGAAAGTTACAGCATCCAAAATGAAAATCGAGAGATTGGCTGGACTGAACCATACGCTTAAAGGAATGAAATTGGGAAATTTCGAGTAAATTTTGCTTTAGTTATTTAATTTATTTTAAGGTGTAATAAAATGCTATGTGTAATCCACCTAACCAGTAAAGGCTTTCTTCTTTAGGTATATTAAAGATCCATTAAAACTTGGTGATCTTAATGGAAATCACTTTGCTATCATTTTAAGGTAATGTGATATATTAATGAATTAAAAAATTTATAAAAGAATAAGATAGCGTGTTAAAGGAGTAATTTTATCAAAAAAAAAAATTTATATATTTTAGAGATGTTAAAGTCGATTCTGTAGAAACCATTAAAAGATCAATAAAAACTTTAGAAGAAAAAGGATTTATCAATTATTATGGTACATATAAATCATACCACACAATAATTTTCAAAACAATAATTAATATAATTAACCTCTTGATTTAATAGGAATGCAAAGGTTTGGTACTTCATCAATAGGTACACATGAAATTGGTAGAGCGTTATTACAAAATAATTGGGAAGAAGCTGTTGATTTATTATTAAGACCACGTATAGGAGGTACATATTAATAGTGATATATTTTGTGTGTATATATATATAGAATAATAATTAGCTAAACTGTCTGTTATAATTTTAATGTGATAGAGCGACCAGACATAGCAAGAGCTAGGCAACATTGGCAGGAAAATAAAGATGCAAAACATGCATTAGAATTATTTCCTAGAAGATGTATTGCCGAATATCAAATTTTATCATCATTTGTAAAGACTGGACATAATAAAGATTGTTATGGAGCTTTTATGACCGTATGTTGAATGTAAAGCGACTTATAGAATTTATTATTATAAGGATAATATTATTAATAATGATATAATAATATTAATTAATATGATATAAAGATACCAAGGAATCTTCGTCTTATGTATTTACATTCTTATCAATCATATATTTGGAATACAATTGTTTCCGAGAGAATACGCGTTTATGGGTGTGATAGCCCAGTTGTTGGAGATTTAATAATTGTCGATAAAGATTTAATAAATAATGATAATGATGACGAGGTCGCCAGTGTTAGCGGTGTCGGTGGTGATGATGGAAAAGATGAGAAGGAAGATGATGACTTTATGACAAATTCCGATGATCTAAAGGTAAGGATCTGAATTTAAATGTTTGGAAAATTAACTAAAAAAAATTAATTTCTAATTAACAACATTTTATTATTTAAAGGAAATAAAAGTGAAAATTTTAAAAAAAGAAGATTTGTCAAATTATACTATCAATGATGTAGTATTGCCTTTACCAGGTTACTCTGTTATTTATCCTGATAATATAATATTTGATAAATATAAAGAATTGATGTATAGAGATAAATTGGATCCTCGTTCAATGAGAAGAAGTGTAAAGTAAGTTATTTTATTTATATATAAATTATTTGAGAAATTAATATAATTAATAATCAATAATTATTATTATAGAGATTGTTCATTATCTGGATCCTATCGTCAAATAATTGGGAAACCAAATGATTTATCATGGTACAAATTTATATGTGAACAATGATAATATCAATTGTTTTGATTAATGAATTTTATTTATTATTGACTGATATAATATTAAACTATATTTAGGAAATTGTTTAAATATGATGAGGTGAATGTTTCATTATCATTAACTGATTTGGACATAATAAACGGAAAAGTAGAACCTGAAAGTGTAGAAGGTGATTGATTGATAGATTGATTGATTGATTTATTTATTTTTATTACAATAAATAATCAAACTTTGATTTTTAGATGGAAAATATGTTGCACTTCGTATAAATTTTTCGTTATCAACGAGTAAATATGCAACAATGACATTAAGAGAGTTGATGAAATCAACAGATGAATATGATAATGAGGAGAAGAAAGAAATTAGCTGATTGTTGATGTTGATATTGAAAATACTTTTTATAATTCAAAATTTTCACAAATTTATTTCGATTCCATCCTCGACCTTTTCCTTTTAAATAAATTTTATTTAATTATTTACATTATTTCTAATTTATTATATTTTCCCATCCCGCAAAAAAAAACATTATATGAAGGACCTGAATCGTTTAAATGAAAAACTTCTTCCAATAGACAAATACATTATTCTTTCAGCGTAAATTGAATAAGTAAAACCCAACATAAGGATACAAACAAACTCGCCTATTCTTCTATCATGATTTAATTCAATATAAATAGTACTGATTAATGGTACTATACACATGGAAGTAAACATAAAAGAACAAATAGAACCTTGTCTGATTGCTAAAGAATGTTTAACTTTAGATAATCCAAATAAATAAACTCCAACATATAAATAAATTATTATCGCTAATGATGTTATTATAATAGTTGGTATATAATCTGATTTAATAATTCTTATTGTTGTTAAAGTTGAGGATGTTAATGTAGTTGTATTTGATGGGTCAAGTGATGACATTGTAGAATCTACAATTACAACTCTTCTATAAATTATTCCTACTATGCTTGAAATCATTGATGCTAATGAATAAAAGATCCACATAATTGAACTAAATAACCCAATTTTTTTTTGATTTAAATCAATTTTTTCCAATTCCATTCGATATAAACTCCTTCCTCCGGATAGGTAAATTTCTTTTAATGTTTTTAATTTTATCAAGCCTATGAATGAGGTACTTCCCGAGAAACCAAGCGCAAGTATAAACAAGCTATATATTCCATAAAAGGCGCCTGCTATTATTGAACTTAAGCTAAATAATAATGTTAAGATGTACAAAATAATAAATTGTCTTTGATATGGAAACACTTGTCCAACTGTTGTTGTTGTTCCTTGAGTCTGATTCTGACTTTGTTGTTGCTGTTGCTGTTGCAGCAATACAGTTGTTGTCTCCGTAGTATTTACTTGGTTCTGATTTGAGGTTCCCGCCTCTTGGTCAACTGTTTCTTGATTTCGATTTATTAGAAATCTTGCAAAAAAGCCATTAAACGACATTTATTTATTAATATTAATATTATTTTTTTGTTGTTGTTAAAGAATATAAGGTTTAAAATGAAAGAAAATTTTAGTTCATCCAATTAACTCATAATGATGATGATCTGACTGAAAGTTAAATAGCACTAATATTAAAATCATTAAAAAAATTTTTCTTCATTCATTGTTATCGAAAAGTAATAAATAATAATAATAATTATAATTATCTTTATAAAAATTACGAATTATTATTATGTTTACAATTCCCAATGTAAAATAAAAAATTTATAAATGAGAACGGATTTGGAATTTTCGAAAAATTTAAAAACAAAAACAATAATAAACGTGCTCCATTCCATTGACGAATAACTCATTTGGCTAGTTATCTGATTAGATTAGATGATCGATAAATTTATTTTATTACGAATTAATATTAATATTTCGCCAATTTACTTTTTTTTTTTTTTTCTGTGCTATTACCAACAATGCATAATTATCATAATTGGATGACAACTAACAAACATCAAAAAAAAAACTGGTAATTGATAATTTTTCAAGATTTAATTTAATCATCCGTTATATTTTTTTAATCATTATCTCTAGGCGTTCTTTTTCGCCTTAATCTATAACGATAATGAAAAATAAAAGAATCTCTGATTTATTGTTAATGTTTCATCTTACGCTAACTACGCCCATCATCATCATATTAATATTGCAAGTCTTTATTACACGTGATATTTTTTGTCATATGATCTCTTTTTTTTTTTGACAGTTTGTCGAATATTCTAGACTTGAAAAATGGTTTCCATCTATTGAAAATCACATATATATATATATATATATAGCAAATCGTTGATAATGGCAAACAATAACAATTACAACAATTTAATTAAAATAAATAAAGTATATCGCAACATGTCACAGGAAAATAAAATATCACGCCAGAAAAATAAATAAATAAAAATTATTTTATAGATCGTAAAAGTGCATCTATTATTCTACCAATTGACTAACATATCTAAAGATGATTGGACTTTTCCGTCTTCTAAAAACATCCGGCTCCTCCACCGGATGATAATCTAATCATGTCAAAATGGATTATTATTACTCGCTGGACATACGATCAATATTTAACAAGTAGTTAATAATACTGATATCAAAAAAATAAACAATATCCGAGATTATATATATCAATATCGAAGGCCTGAAAAATTTAAAGATTCGATCTCAAATGGATTCTTCTGGTGTCAATTTTTCAATTGTCATTAAATCTACAGATTAGGGAAGAGAAAGTAGCCATTATTCGTTCTCCAAATAAAAGCGAGAGTAAAATACAACTATCGTTTCGTCATGAATCGTCTTGGTGAATTCTACCCATGTATCCGTAAACCACTTGAAATCAAGGTCCTAAATCGAAGAGAGTAAAGACTTTGGTATCATAGATTATTGAACTCATGATGGATCAAATAAGCGACTCCACGCAAAATGGCGAAAACATGATAAAAAATGACGTTTTAGAAATAAAACCAGTAATAGTGGCTTAGAAGTGTTTTTCAAATCTTGTGCAATAAAAAATTGTGATACAACATTATTAAAAATCACATCCGTTTGTTACACCCTTTCAAACAAACGTGTCAATATTATTGGTATTTATTAAACTTTCATTATCTTACAATAACAATACATTAATAAAAAAAGTTAAACCACGCACGCTCGCATTCTATTCTTGTAAAAAAATCTTCCTACATGCGCAAAATTGGCATTTAATAATTAATATAATAAGATAAACAAACTTATTTTTCTATATAAAATAAGGTTTTTTCCATTTTTTTTTTTTTAGAAAAATTTTTCTATAAATTTTTTTTCAAAAACAATTTAGAAATTCACATGGCATTCATAGAAACCACACCATTTGCATTAGTCACATTATCAAGTTTTATACTTTTATCAATTCAAAAAATTAGAAAACTTAAAAGTAAAATTAAAAAATTTCACGACAATGACGATAAGGAAGATCATATAATTAACAATTATTTTTCAACAATTAAAAGAGACTCGATTAAAACTTTAATTTCATTAATTCAATCAATATTATTCACATTTTTATTGGGTTGGAGATTATATTATAAATTTAATAATGACGAAGAAGAAGAAGACATTGAAGAAGACTATGATCATAATGATATTTTATTCGCTGCAACATTTTCAATTTGTTGGGTAAATATTTTATCAATCTCTTTTACGTTTCATAATTGAATGGCCTTCGTCGTATATATATATATTAACCATTTTCTTGCTTTAATTTCTTAAAGTATTATTGTACAGTGTTATCAGCTTTGACTTTTTTCAAAAGATCAAAAAAATTAAGTAGCACTCTTAACAAACACTTGACTTTAATATATTTCACATCGTTTCTATCTTTACTATGGCAAATTCGTAATCTTTCAGGTGGTGATGAGAACCAAGGAAACAATTGTTCCCTCGACCAATGTAACATTGACATCCCATTCGTCATCACCAACACAATCTTATCTTTACTTGCCACCACCATAGCAATAACCACGCCAAGGGGTCCTCCAGAATACGATGATAATGGTCGTCTGGTTTCTCCAAACAGTTATTCCTCAATATGGGATTTCATCACTTTCTCAACAATGAATCCGTTGATGTGTAAGGCTTACAAAAAAGATTCATTAAGCGATTCTGATCTTGATCAACTGCCACGTGATTACCGCGCCTCGACCTTGTTTAAAAAATTCGAGAAATATTCATCTCCAAGTTATAATAATATTAGCAATAGTAATAGCGGTAGTAAGAAACATGGATTATTATATAAAATTTGGAAAAGCAATCGCAAAAATGTTGCTTATCAAATTACAGCTACAGTAATTGGAGCATCCTTATATTATGTTCCTATAACTTTTCTTTACAGTTTTCTAAATTTCATTCAAACAAACCCTTCTTCACTTGGATGGGGATTCTTTTGTATTTTTGGTATGTTAATATCAAATATTTTGTATTATATTTCAACCACCCAACAATGGTATTGGAGCGCAAGTGCAATGCAAGTTAGTATCAAAGGAATGCTAAATGCTGAAATCTTTTCAAAAAGTTTAAGATTATCATACAATGCAAATAATGATGATGAAGCGGAAAAAAATAGCAAAGACGAACAAAAGGATTCATCATCGGATATGAAAGGTGTTGGAAAAATTACAAATCTGATGACCGTTGATTCTCAAAGAATTGGTCAATTTTCAATGTGGTGGACAACTGCTTTGATCGATTGTCCAACTCAAATTACAATTGGTCTTTATTTCTTGTACAGATTATTAGGCGTTGCTAGTATCTTTGGTTTTATGATTATGATAGTTATCATACCTATAAATCAACAAACTGCAAAATATTTCGCTAAAACTCAAGAAAAATTAATGAAAGCAAGAGATAATCGTGTCAATCTAATGAACGAAGTAATTAATTATATATTTTTTTAATAATTTTGGGAGCTAAAACATTTATTAATTATATACAATTGATTTTTTAAAAGTTATTACAAGGTATTAGAATGATAAAGTTTTTCGCATGGGAAAAAAATTGGACAAAGCAAGTTTTAGGTAACATTAATTATTTCAATACAAAATACGAATGAAAATTAATCAATTATTTTTTTCTAACATCTTCGATTATCTACCCAATACAATTTAGAAACAAGAGAGGTTGAATTGGTTCATCTTCGTAAAAACTTTTTGTTTCTATTAGCATTTAATTTCATTTGGCTATTATCACCAGTCCTGGTATCTATAGTATCATTTGCTGTGTTTTCAAAAATTCAAGGAAATGTTCTCACACCATCTATCGTTTTCACTTCAATTGCCATCTTTAATGAAATTCGTTTTGTCTTGAATCAATTACCTGAAGTTCTAATGCAAGGATTTCAAGCCTACGTCAGTTTAAAAAGAATTGAAAAATTCTTGGATTCCGAAGAAATCATAGTCATTGACAATAATAAAAGAGGTGACAATGACAATGACGATGACAATGACGGCGACGGTGATGATAATGAGGATAGAATTATAGTAAAACCAAAAAAAAGAATAGCTTTTGAAAATGCTAATATTTCTTGGGGCAAACCATCATCATCTCCTTCGACTAATTCAAAAATTGATTTCATCATGAAAGATCTAAACATCGAATTCCCCTTAGAAAAATTAAGTATAATATGTGGTCCAACTGGGTCCGGAAAAACTTTATTACTAATGGCACTTTTAGAAGAAACAAATATCATTAGTGGAAAAGTATATTCTCCAAGATCATCATCTAACAACGATGTTTTCAATCAAAATAATTCACCATTGTTGCCTGCAAATTGGATAGTTGATAATAGTGTTGCTTACGTAGCTCAAGAATCTTGGCTTCAAAATGCCTCTATACGTGATAACATATTATTTGGATTACCCTATATCGAAAAACGTTATAATGAAGTGATTAGTATGTGTGCGTTGACTAGAGATTTTGAAATTTTGGAGGATGGCGATTTGACTGAGGTTGGAGAGAAAGGGCTTACACTTTCTGGTGGACAAAAGCAACGTTGTGCATTAGCAAGGTTTGATATATAATAACTGATTAATTGATTTATTTGTTGATTTGTTGATTTATTAATGACTAATAATGATTTGATTATTTTGATATTATTTATAGAGCTGTTTATTCAAGAGCAAAACATATTTTAATAGATGATGCTTTAAGTGCTGTTGATGCTCACACAGCTAAACACTTGATTGATGATTGTATTACTGGCTCATTGATGAAAGGTCGTACCAGGATTCTTGTTACTCATCATATTGGACTCGCATTATCAAAAGCTGATTACTTGGTAAAATATATTGAGATTATTATTATAGAATTAATAAGAGTTGCCTTTTACTCCTTCCTCTCTTTGTTCCTCTCTTTTAATCATTTGATTTTTTTAATAGGTTGTATTAGAATCTGGTAAAGTGGTAACAAATGGTGTAGTCGATGATTTACGTTCTTCTGGCGAATTGTCTTCTGTGTTGAAAGAAGCAGATAGCGATGTTGACTTTAATGATTTAGCTGAAGCTGCTGCTGAAACAATTCCACTAGAAATTAATAGCAATAATAAAAACCTTGGTAAAATTATGTTACATCAAGGTGAACCTTCAACATCTTCATCTATCACCGTAGTTAATAATGGTGATAATTCTATATCAGAAGAATATGACGATGAAAGTAACAATAGTAGTGATGTTTCTTCAATAAGATCGGATATTGATGTTGAAGGATTATCATCAGAAACTTCTACTATTAAAGAGCAAGATATTAATAATAATGGTAATAACAGTAAAGGTGGTGGTAGTGGCAACATTATCAAAAGATTATTATTTAATAACATTAATAATAACAATAACAAACAATCGAGTGGCAGTAAATCTTCAACTACTGCAATACAAATTGATTCTAAAAAACCAAGAGTTTTGATTAAAGAAGAAGGTAAATATTTAAATATTCTTTATTTCTCTATGATTATTTATGATTATTTATGAAGTATCTTATTAATATATTTCCACAAACATATATTTTTAGAAAGAGCAAAAGGAACAGTTAAATTGAACATTTATTTGAAATATTTTAATGCAAATGGTAATTTATTATTTTGGATTATGGTGATTTTCTTATTTTTTACAACAAGAGCTGCACAAATTATTGAGAGTTGGTGGCTTAAAGTATGGTCAAGTTCAAGTAGTAAAGATCCTAGAAATGTGACACAACAATTATTCAATATGACAACTTACAATATTAATAATGACAACGATAACAACAACGTACTATTATATGATTTACCGTCAGTTCCAGATTTTGATTTAGATGATTCAAATTATTATTTACTACCATCCATTACCAATAATAATTACACAATTATTCGAGGCGACAATCATGATGTAGATTATTATTTCAACATTTATGTATTGATTACAATGGCATCCGTTGTACTTGGTATCATGAGATTCTTATGGTTGTATTATGGTTCACTAAGAGCTTCTAGAAATCTTTACGAACAATTACTTCACAGAGTTATTAGAGCACCTCTTAGGTTTTTTGACACTACACCTGTTGGCAGAATACTTAATCGATTTAGTAAAGATTTTGAGACAATCGACAGTATTTTAATTGGCGACTTGGCTTTATTCTTAAACAATGTGATTATGATGATCAGTACTGTAATGGTTATAACGGCTATAACAAAAGAATTTCTGATCGCTTCGTCATTGTTTGGCATATTGTATATTATTGTTGGATCATTGTATGCCAAAGCTTCCAGAGAATTGAAGCGAATAGACTCGGTAACAAAGTCACCATTATATTCACATTTTGGTGAAACACTGTTGGGTATTACTACAATTAGAGCATTTGGGGCAAAAAAGAAATTTATGATTGACATGTTAACAAAAATTGATAATAATCATCGACCATTTTATTTAATGTGGTGTGTTAATCGATGGCTTAGTATTCGTTTCAACGTTATTGGGTCATTTTTGAGTTTCCTTGCTGGCTTGTTTGTTTTGTTGAATATAGATCATATTGATGCAGGTTTGGCCGGGTTGTCGTTATCGTTTGCCATGACATTTTCAAAACAAATTATGTGGTCAGTTAGGAAGTATACTGCTTTGGAGATGAGCTTGAATGCGGTAGAACGAATTGATGAATTTCTTCATATTCCACAAGAAGCACCGGAAATTGTTAATCCACGACCACCAGCTGCTTGGCCACATAGTGGTAACATTCAATTTGAGAATGTGGAGGTCAAGTATGCACCTGATTTGGAACCTGTTTTACATCATATTAGTTTTAATATTCAAGGCCAAGAGAAAATTGGATTAGTTGGAAGGTATTTATTGTTTTGTTTGTTTGTGAATGTGCGAATGTGTTGGTTAATGTTATAATTAATTATTTGATCGAGAATAAAACGTTAATTAATCTTTTTTTTTATAAATAAATACTTGATTTAGAACTGGATCAGGCAAATCTACAATATCATTAACTTTATTTAGATTTATTGAACCATCAGATGGAAATATTTTTATCGATAATATTGACATTGGAACTATTGGTGTCGAAGACCTTAGATCCAGAATCACAATTATTCCACAAGATCCAATATTATTTACAGGTTTGAATTAAATTTTTTTTTTTGGAATTCATTATCCATATTATCATTATCACTAATGATTTTAACACCTAATTATTATTTATTTATCTTTTTTATTTAATTATTCAGGAACGATAAGATCAAATTTAGATGCATTTTCACAATACAGAGATTACGAAATTTATGAAGCATTACAAAGAGTTCATTTATTGCCTTCATCATCAACCAAAGCAACTTCATCAATTTCATCATCAGAAAGAAATAACGATGATGATACATCAATAATAATGACAAATGATGATGATGTTAACAACGACAATATTAGCATGTTTAGCAACTTAGATACACCTATTACAGAAGGTGGTAAAAATTTTAGTCAAGGACAACGACAATTATTATGTTTAGCTAGAGCTTTACTTAAACGATCTAAAATTATACTAATGGATGAAGCTACAGCAAGGTAAAATAATTACTTTTGGAGAAAAATTTTCTTAAAAAATATATTTTATTTGTTAATTATTAATCTGTTTTTTTTTTAATAATTATTTAGTATTGATTTTGCTATGGATGATAAAATCCAAAAAATGATAAGAAATGAGTTTGTTGATTGCACTATATTGTGTATTGCACATAGATTAAGAACCGTTATTGACTATGACAGAATATTAGTATTAGGTACGTTTTGTATGTGATTATTAAACTTTGAGGAATGAAAAAATATTAAATAATTTTTTTTTAATTATTCTTTTTTTATAGATCAAGGAAATGTCGTAGAATTTGACAGGTAAATTATATATATGCTTTTTATTAATATACTTATTAATGCAAATCAAATAGCTAATTTTTTCTTTTTTAAAATCAAAAAGGCCATACAATCTCATCACAGATTCAAACTCATTATTTCATAAAATGTGCAAGAATTCAGGAGAATTTGATACTTTACTATCATTAGTATCCTCTAACAAAAAATAAATTTTTATATTTTTTTCTTTGTATTTATTGAACATAAATAGTTTAATGTAATAAACTGTTTACAAAAATTGCAAATAAATCAGCATATAATAAAGGTTCTGATTTTCATTTGTACATGTATAAAAAAAAAATAAAATTCGAATTTTGTTGAAAAGTTGACGCGTTTTAGAATTTTGACAAGTTTTTATGGTCCAATCAATTTAATTGATTACTTTAAAAGGAAAAATACAATTTTTTTGATTTTTTAAAATTCTCATCTTTCACAAAATAAAAAATAAAAATATAAAAATATGGGTGGAGCTCAAAGTACTGCAAAAGGACAGGGCTATCATGTTCTCAAAGTAAAAAATATAATATAATATTCAAATTCAATTAATATTTTCTCTCTTTTCCATAATAAACACTCATTCAATTAATAAATAATTGACTAATAAATAAATAATTTAGGTACATGAAAATTCACCAGCTCATTCTCTAGGAATTGAGCCTTTTTTTGATTATATCGTTGGAATTAATGGGCTATCATTGGTAATTCATAAAAAGTAAAAAAAAATGCTTCAAAAATTGAATTCACTTTAAAATTATCTATTTATTTTTTTTCAAAAAAATAAAGGATACACCATCATCATTTATATTACAAGAGCAACTGTATAATAATATTGATAAAAAAGTAATTTTATTAATTTATTCAACTAAAGAACAAGAATTTCGAGGTATTTTTTTTTTGAAATAAGGTGTTTGTTTATTTTATTTTATTTTTTTTAAAATAATGATATTTTTTTAAGAGGTCTCTCTTGTACCTAATAAGAATTGGTCATCGAAACTTGAAAATGGATTAATTGGTAAAAAAGTTATTACCATGTTTATTATTATTATTTATTATGATACTGAATAATGAACTTTTATTTTTATTTTTAGGTTGTAGTATTAGATATTGTTCATATGAAGTACTTAAATAATTCTATAAATTTAATTGTTTTTTAATATTTATAAAAAAAAATAGAATAATTAATAACTGTACAAATGTTTATTAATAGAGTATTAATGAACATGTATGGCACATATTAGATATAGCACCTGATAGTCCTGCAGAAATGGCCGGATTGGTAATTAATTAATAAGAATTATTAGAAGCAACAGCAATAATAATAATAATAATAATAATAACAATTCAAAAAAATTTTTTTTTAGGTTCCTTTTACAGATTATGTTATTGGATCACCTCATGCAACACTACGAGGTGAAAATGATTTTTATGAATTGGTCGAATCAAATTTAGGAAAACCAATTCGTATTTACGTTTATAATGCAGATTTTGATGTTTGTAGAGAGGTATAGAATATTTAAACAAACAAACAAATAAACGTTTATTTATATGTACTATTAATGATAATGAATAATGGATAATTATAATAGGTAATAATTGTTCCAAATCATGAATGGGGTGGAGAAGGCTCATTAGGTTGTGGAGTCGGTTACGGGTATTTTATTTTATTATTTATTTATTTGTTTTTTTTTGTTTGTGTTTTATTTATAATTATGATTTCTATTAATTAAATTATTATAATATGTAGATATCTTCATAGAATACCAAAAACCAACAAATTTCATAATATCAGTCCACATGATTTTGAATTATCATGGAATAATAATGATGAAAATAATCAAGATGATTATGAGGATGAAAATGAAGATGATAATAATAATAATTCAGAAAAATATATTATACCAAATACAAAAGATACTACTGAAAATTCTTCCTTAACAGACAATTCAACAACAATATCAACAAATGATTTTATAGCAGATACTAACACTGATACTACAACCTTTTCTGATATCCCTGTTGTCACAACTAACACTGACAATATCATAAATTCAAGTAATAATAATAATAATAATAATAGTAATAATGATGTGGCAGATGATAAAAACATTGATATGATATCATCACAGTTATCAGACTTGAACACTACTCAAATTCCTCCTCCAAATCCTTCTGTTTCAATAGATTCTAACGAAGAAAAGAATTAGCAAACTATAAAATTATTGAATTTATTTTTTAATTAAAAATCAAATAATTATAATTGTATTGGATTTAAAATAATAAATAATAATAAAAAATAAGTTTCCATAATCAGGCAATTCATTTAATCAATTTGGTGAGAATATATAGATATGGATTTAATATTAATGATGTAAATAATTAATTAATAATTAAACCAATAATAGTTTGTGGAAGATTTGTAAAATTCAATGGCAACCTGTATATTGGATGAATTGTTGATGAATCAATAAAACATCATCCGTTTCATTAACACCTTTTTGATTGATCTTAATTCATCAAGCTTTTCTTTAGAATGATTGTCTAAGCAGATTAAACAAAATGATTTGTACCAATTTCTTTAACGGTTAGACACTTATCATGACACTTACAAGCTAACTCAATAAACATTAAACCTTAGAATTAATATTTTAATAAATAAAATAATAATCAATAATAAGAATTACCATTTACATTATCATCGTCCATTTCATCAAATACTTTTCTGATAGGAATTAATCATTCAAGTTTTTCAGATTGACATAAATCTTGATCTATGTTTATTAATCAATTTTCAAGTGCATTATTCCAAAAAAATAGTATTGAATATTTTACCAGCAGCTGGTTGTTTATCTGGATTAGAAATCCATGCAACTATTTTTGAAAATTCTGACCTTACTTCTTTACAAACCTTCATTGTTAACCCTACATCACGAACCAAATTATCAAAAAGGTTGTGGCTCTGTTGATACAACTGACATCAAAACTCTAAAACTATAAATATCTGATGCCATTGTATAGAGTTCACCATTTAAAATTCAGGCCCAAGATAACTAAAGCTGCTGAACCTAAATCTGCAACTATTGCTTTAATATCTTTGTCTCAAAAATATTATCAGAATGAATGTTATGATGTTTAACACCATATTCATGAATTTCTTGTAAGCCATAAATAATATTAAAAAGAATAGATATTTTATCTTTTCATCTTAAAATTTTAAATTTTTTTGATAAATAACTATGGAGACTCTCATTCATTCTCTCAATATTTATCATCATAATATATTCATTGCTATGGATCTTGACTTAAACCGTAATATGACGATTTTTTGAAAATTTTTGAACTATTAAATAACAATAAATTTTATATTAGAATTAATAAATTAGATTAAATTTCGATATATTGTAAATTATAACTATTTCAAATTTTATTTGTAATCTTTTTGTTAATATGTAAATCTTTTAAATCACAACCACATCTCTTTTATTATTTTCAAATTTTACCATTTATCCAAGTAGCTTTGCAAGGCCTCCTGTCCTATCTTTTCAACATTTCTTTTCTTAATCATCACAAGGAATCTAAATAATCACTATTATAAGATGTTGCTTTAAGTAGGTTACTCTTAATTATCTCATCAATTGATTGGTTTAAGAAGGGCCAAAAAATACATGTTTAGGAATGGAGGCTCTCAAATTTACACGTCACACATTTAATTTAGAGGAGGGTACCCAACCCACCAATAAAATAATCACGTATTTTTTGAAAAAATAATAATAAATACTGAAAATTATAAGATTTTATATAATGTCATTTAATAAATTATTATTACCAGAAAGGAGAGAATACGTATATAAAATTTATAATGAAATGAACAATAATGCTCTGGTTAATTTTGATAGAGAAAGTAGAAATGTTTATTTTTTTTCATTAGTCAAAAAAAATGAGCAACTTTCTGAAAATGAGAAAGAATATTGTAAAGAAAAGTTTATTTATGATTTTGAATTACAAAATGCAAGTGATAAATTGGGCCAACCAAGAGAATGTAACAAGTGTAAATCAACAAAATACTCTGATAGGCTCTGTGAAAGTTGCATTAGCTTACAATTACAGAGTCATTTCACTACTTGGACATCTGGAAATAACATAGTTGATAATTTTATTCAACAATGTCAAATAAAATCATCTCTGCCAAACTATATTTTGGAATGGATACCTTTTAAGCAATTTGAAAAAGTAACAAAGTTAACTGAAGTTAGGTTTAGTTCAATTTATACTGCTACATGGACAAGAGGACAAATAAATGATTATGATGAAAATAAAAAGGAATTTAATTATTCTGGATGGCAAGAAGTAGTATTAAAAATTTTAGATAATTCAAGTAATCCAGGAAAGGACTTTTTTGATGAGGTTGGTAATTGTTATTTAAACAAAAATAACCAATACTGTACTATATAATACTAATTGATTTTATATTCAATCTCAGGCAATGAGTTATTGTAAAGTTAAATCACCACTGATTGCTCCTTGCTATGGTATAACTAAATTCCCAGAAAGTGTAAATTATGCAATAGTTTTAAATTATCTTTCAGAGGGAAATTTAAGAGATTATTTACAAAGAAATCATTTAAATTTAGCATTAAAGGATAGAATTACAATTTTTAGATGTTTATGTAGTGCATTAGATGATATACATAAAAAAGATCTAATCCATTATGACCTACATAGTGGTAATATACTTATGGAAGGAGGCAATTGTTTTATTACAGATTTAGGAAGATGTGAATCAGTTGATGAAAAGTCATCAAATAAAATTTATGGAATTATGCCATATATTGCACCAGAGATACTGAGGGGCAATGATGGTATAAAGTTGACAAAAGAAACAGATATTTATAGTGTTGGGATGTTAATGTGGGAAATATTTGCAGGTAATCCACCATTTGACAATAGAGATCATGATCATCATTTGATTTTTGATATATGTGCAATAGGTTTACGACCACCAATACTATCTGAAATGCCTGATGATTATGCACAAATGATGCATAGATGTTGGGATGTGGTTCCATCAAAAAGACCAACTAGTAGAGAGCTTTTGGAATTTGCCAATAATCAACTAAAGGGAATTCTTAAAGTCAGAAGACCTTTTAAATATAATAAGTATTTAATTAAAAGAAAAAAGAAATATGGTAAATGTCCAACTTGTACTAGAAATAATACAAATTATTCTTGGTGCCAATCATGTGACCCTTATTTATTAACAGAAGGCTGGACTAGTGGTGATGGTGTAATTGATGGGATAATTAAGAATACACAACTTAAAGCAACATCTTATAATAGTGATTATTTAGAATGGATTCCTTATGATAAGTTTAAAGATATTGAAAAAATAGGACATGGTGGTTTTGCAGATATATACAAAGCTACTTGGATAAATGGTAAAAAATTTATAGATATTGAAAATAATAAAAAATGCTGTGGGGATAGAATTGTAGCATTAAAAGCATTAGAAAGAAAGTCAAATTCTGAATTTGATTTAGATGCTTTTATGAAGGAGGTAAATATATTTTGAGAATATAACAAAGAAATATTAATGAAATTAATTAACTAAAAATATTTTTCAGTTTAAAAATTGTGTCAAGTTTTGTCATTATCCTTATATTGTCAAGATTTATGGCATAACACAAGATTTGGAAACATATGAATATTATATGGTTATGAAATATGCAAAAAATGGATGTCTCCATAATTATTTAGCTAACAATTATAAAACTCTAAAATGGAAAGATAAAATATCATTGCTTTATAATATTATTAGTGGTTTAGAAGAACTTCATAAAAACGATGTTAAGCATCATGATTTTCATACTGGTAATATTTTAGTAAATGAAAATAATGAAGCTTTGGTTTCAGATTTAGGTTTATCGGATTTAGTTAATCAAGATCTTGCAGGAAGAGTTGGAGTGATATTTTTTATGGCACCTGAAGTATTAGAAAATGTAATTATACAACGAAATCTGATATTTACAGCTTTGGAGTTATGATGTCATTAATCTCAATGGGAGAACTACAATATCCAGAACAGTTTTCACGTCAAGTATCTTTTAGAAATTTAAAAGAGGCTGTTTCTAAAGGATCAAGACCAAAATTTTCAAATAACACACCTAAATTTTATATTGAATTTGCAAGAAGATGCATGGATGCTGACCCAGACAATCGTCCAATTGCTGAAGAAATATTTCATGAGATTTTTTCTTGGTACAATGCACTTGAAGATAGTTTAGTAGATATAGATCAAAACTTTTGTCATTCTGAAAAACTTAAAAAGCTAATTTCCATTAGAAATGCATTTGATGAGATGGATCAAATTTTATCAGACAATAATGATTCATGCCAATCATTTCAATCATCATGGCGGTCTAGAATTACAAATTATGGTTTTACTCGAGATTCTTATGACATAGGTGATTATTTTTAATTTATTGCCAATGTTGACTATTCTTATTATCAATATTTAATTATTCTATTTATAGATTCTAGTATGTCGACCACTTCTAATAATGAATGTAGCATAGCAGTAGGAGAAACTAATTAAATTTACTTGTATGTCTTTCCTAAATAATTATGCAGTTTTATTATTATATTTTTTGTTAATTTTTAATTTATCTTTTGGTAATAGATTTCAAAAATTTTATTTATTCATAAATTAATATAATAGTAATAAAATAAATACAATATAAATGCTCAATAAAAATCTATATACTTCTAATCCAAATTTTCATGTTTATTTTTTCAAGTTTATTTTTTTGCATCAACAATACCATTTTTTGCAGCTTCTTTATAATAAGATATTGCTTGGTCTTTATCTATTTCAACATTGTATTTGCCATTATAATAAATATCTCCTAGGTAAAACATAGCAGTTGGAATTCCATTCATAGCAGCCATTTCAAAATATTCAACACTTGTTTAGCAATGGATAAATCATTATTAATATTCTTTTTTATTGATTTTGCATAAAAAAGTTGTGCATCATCAATATCATTATCAGCTGCCTCTTTAAATAACTTTTGTGCTTCTTCCAAATTTATGTCAACACCAGCATACTCATGTGTTAAATAATAAGCTTTCCAATACTTTGCTAGGGGGCTGTTTAAAACACCTGCATGGGTGTTCAAAACATTTCCATGCTTTTTTTCTTGAATCTGGAGTTTTTTCCTTGTGAAATATTATACCTTGTTCCAAAGGTATAGAATTTTTTGATATAGTCTCTGTTGATGATTCTTCACAATTAACATTACAACCATCTTCTTCTTCTTCTTCTTCATTATCTTCTTCTCCATCATCTTATTCTTCAAAAGCAGATGTTTTATCAGCTCCATTTTTAATTAATGATACATAATATTTATTGCATAAAGTTTCCAATTTAGTTAAAATATTTGGTAATCTCAAACGTTCACTAGATTCATGTTTCCAAGTTATATTAAAGAACGAAATAATACTTGGTATTTAATTTCTAAAGGATAATCATTTAAACAATATAAAAATAAATATAAAAATGAATAAATTATCAGTTGAAATTATTTCTTTAAAACATTGTTGGATATCACTTGAATGTTTATAATCAAAATACAACTCTTCTCTTTTTTTATTCAAGATGTGTTGAGAAATTTTTTCATATTTATTTTCAAATTTATCAATATATGGAACTTGTTGGAAAGAGAGTTCCCAAAGAAACATACAAAACTATAGAATTAATCAATTAATCAATAAATCAAAAAATAATTAAACAATGTGCAAATTTTATCTTTACTAACCAACTGAATAGGAAGTTTTTTTCAATTTTTCAGGTGCCGCCCAATGTTCCATTTCAAATCTTTTTCTTCAGAGTCAAATAGTTTACTAATATCTATAAAATTTCTACTCAAAAAAAAAGTTTGCAATTTTGCTGTGGCAACTCCTAGCCCCATAATCTAAAATAGTAATAGTAATAATAACAACTTTAATAATCATTTTACTATTAAGATAATTAAAAGTAAACTTTTTACCAAAATATTTTTGCATCTAACATCACGATGATAAAATTCACATTTATGTAAAAATTGCAGTCTAAGGCAGATATCATATGCAATCTTTAGTTTTTTTTTCCAAGGAATCAGTTTATTTGTTTGTTATATTCTCCATATACATATTTTAAATTTCCCATATGTGCCCAATCAAATATTAATACACTCTCATTACCAACACATGATGTGCTATGAAATTTTATAATACTATCTGATGAATGTAATTTACTCAAGATTGCTAAAGTTGCTTCCAATTCATCCTTATTATAAAGTCGTGCATTAAATGGTACACAAGCAACTTGTATAGTTTCTTTTAACATTTTTTTATATACTTTTCCTCGAACATAAATGCTATCTGGTTTGGATCTGTTAAATCTTTTTCTTGAAGTTCATCATATGAGAGATAAATTTTGAACTCGCCTTTGTTTACTTTTATGTGCTTCCTTTGCAATCATTTTTGACTGAGGGTCAAGATTTTTAGGATTTTCTGTAAGTTTTTAAAATCCATCTTCAACAGTTTTTAAAATTAATTCAGACTTCTATATTAATATAATAATAAATTCATTAATTTATAATCATCAATCATCATATCTAAATTATTTACTTACCTTTCGAACTGTATCATTCAAATCTTGTACTTGATTGCCTAAATTTTCAATTGACTTGTAATTTTCTATATTGATTGTAAAATCTAAATCCCCCAAAGCTCTTTTATATCTTTTTTCAAGATTTTCGATTTTATCACTATACTTATTTGCATTTTCAATCTGCAAAAAAAGTTTTTTTAATTTATTATATTTTTTTAACTATATTTCTAATTTCAGTCACTGCATTTAAATAAAGTTGGAGATTATCAACAAATTACACATTATTTGGATTGAAATTTTTATCACCATTTTTAATAAACGGTTCTTAGTTGACTTGTGGTTGTTTCTATTCTTTGACTTATTCCTTCATATTTTTCTCGATTATCTTTAGCATTTTTTACAGAGATTAAGAACTTAGTTTACTAATGTTGAAATACAGCCTAGCAAATTACAACAAGCACCAAATATATACATTTGATTCATTCATTAAACAGATAGAATAAAACCGTTTTATGATAAATGCTAATTTTAATATTGAGGATTGAGCGCAACGTGTCACCAAAGTTATGACGGTCATGTGAAATTTGGTAATCAATTGTATGACAATGATTACATTTTATGGTAAAACGGGGAGCCGTGCATTGTAAATAATTTTTATTGTTAAATTAATAAAAAAACACAACGATTATTATTGATATTAATATGATGTAATCTTTTCGGGTGATTTTAATATTAATAATAAATAATAATAAATAAATAAGAAATATTTTAAAAATTTTAAACCGATTTTGCAGGTCTGTTTATCTTTTCAAGTATTTTTTTTGCATCAGCAATACCATTTTTTGCAGCTTCTTTAAAATAAGATATTGCTCGGTCTTTATCTACTTCAACATTGTATCTACCATTATAATAAATCCTTCCTAGGTCAAACATAGCAGCTGGAATTCCATTCATAGCAGCCATTTCAAAATATTCAACACATTCTTCAGCAATGGATGAATCATTATTAGCATCCTTTTTTATTAATTTTGCATAGTAATATTGTGCTTCACCAATATCATCATCAGCTGCCTCTTTAAATAATTTTTGTGCTTCTTCAAAATTTATATCAACACCAGCATATCCATGTGTTAAATAATAAGCTTTCCAATACTTTGCTAGAGGACTATTTAAAACATCTGCATGGTATTCAAAACACTTCCATGCTTTTTTTCTTGAATCTGGAGTATTCTCCTTGTGAAATATTATACCTTGTTCCAAAGGTATAGAATTTTTTGATATAGCCTCTGTTGATGATTCTTCACAACTAACATTACAATCATCATCATCATCGTCATCATCATCATCTCCTTCAAAAGCAGATGTTTTATCAGCTCCATTTTTAATTAGTGACGATACATAATATTTATTGTATAAAGTTTCCAATTTAGTTAAAATATCTGGTAGTTTTAAACGTTCACCAGGTTCATGTTTCCAGGCTATATTAAGAACAAAATAATGCTTAGTATCTAATTTTTAACGGATAGTCATTATAAATACAGAAATAAAAAAATGTTGCGAATCGAAATCAAATCCATGTCAAATGTAAATTCATAATTAAAATTTTGGGGTGGAATTCTGTCTGATTGGCTTATTTGAGCCTCATACATGTCAATTTAAAATTGACACGGATTTGAATTTGACACACAACATGAATAAATTACCAGTTGAAATTATTTCTTTGAAACATTGTTGAATATCACTTGAATGTTTGTAATCAAAATTTAAATCTTCTCTTTTTTTATTCAAAATGTGTTGAGAAATTTCTTCATAATTATTTTCAAATTTCTTAATATATGGAACTTGTTGAAAAGAGAGCTCCCAAAGGAG